ATTTGTGAGTCTTAATATTTGTACTTTCTCTTTATAGATCTTACTCCTCAGTTTTTATCTTTTTTTCCATTGGATTAAAACAAACAATGAGCTTTAAAAAGAACATTCCTAGTGGTAGATATCTCCAGAGAGCTTATATTTACTTTAAACTAACTTCTTGCCAGACCGCCCAAGTGGATACCCCTGATTTTTTATTATCCATCACCATGTTACACTGTAGTGGATACAATGGCATAGAAATAGTATAGCCAAGTAAATTCCTGTTAGCCCCAACGAACAACCAACACAAAACCATGAGAACATTTCCCTATCTAGTTCTACAGAAATAATTTATACTTCTCCCTTTCTCCCTCTCTCCCTTCTTTCCTCCCTTCTTCCCTTCCTCCCTTCATTCCTTCCTTTTCTCTTTCTTTTGAGGTTTTTAAAAGGCAAAAACAAAGGTATAGTATGAGGTATGATAAAAAACTACAGTGAATGTTTAAATTTAAAAATATGTATTACAGTAAAAGACACATTGCCATTAATCCCCCTCAAAATCCTCCCCCTCACTTTGAACGCACTTATCCGATCATTCTTGCCACTTTCTGAAGCAGTTCTGGAAGTCCTGTTTAGTGAGTGTCTTTAGTTGCATTGTCACAGCTGCCTCAATGTCCTGAATTGATTCAAAACGTTTACCTTTCATGGTCACTTTGACTTTGGGGAAGAGCCAGAAGTTGCACGGTGCCAGATCCGGTGACTAAGGTGGAGGAGGACACACCATAATGTTTTTATTTAGCAGAAATGGAATACCAGAAGTGATGTGTGAAATGGAGTGTTGTCATGTTGGAGAATGAAACAATGTGCCCATTTCATGTTAATTCATTGTTCGTGATCCATGATTTACGGCACACTTTAAAACACACCTTCTCTCAACTGTAGCTCACACCTGACTGCACCAAACAAGCTGAAGCTTGTCACACACTATTACTAAGATTTGACTCGCTGCTTCCATATTGAAGAGCCCTGCTTTTCTGTTGGATGGCACTTGGCAGCAGCATTCACCATATCGTTTGATCACATCTTGTAATTTGTTGCCTAAGAATTTAGACTCTGGAAAATGGGATTGCCACTGCCATACTTCCCAGTGGCTAAGGAACTGCCTTTCCCAAGAGTCTACAAATATTAGAACCTAGTCTTTTATGTCTTTTAAAGTTACATTTGTTTGTTTTATAACATAATGCCAGCATGACACTACAGTCAGCTGTACCTGAGAGACTAAAACCATATATTTTGTGTTCAAAGCAAAGAATGAGGACATGGAAAAACTGGACATTTGAGTTTACCCATGATTATCTTAAGATGACGGAGTTCTGGATATGGCCCAGTCATTCCTGGCTTGATTATCTTGGCTGATTGCCACCAATCACATCTAAGGATTTGCCATCACATGGCCCATTTTTCATACACACTGATATGTGTAAGTCAAATAGTGTAAAGGACTCTATAGTCATTTTAACCTTCTACCTGAGTCTTCAGTTGTAAAAACCACAAGGTGCATCCCAGTTCACTGAGTTTATTGTGTAGAATGAAATGCACATATAGAACGAGTTCCATTAGCAAAAGTAAAAGCAGTCCCCTCTTTGAAGATCGGGAATGATTTGCGAACCTGACCCCTATAAAGACATCTTTGCTAATTTAATACTTATCTATATACTTCTCCTTTTTCATCTATAGAATTTTCATTTTTTTAAAAAGATTTTTATTGGGGAATTGGGAGATGGGAACATCCCTGGGGAATTGGGGGAAGGGGAACAGACAAGTTGCTGTCCTTTTGTTCTTCAGTCTAGTTGTGGAGGACGTTGCTTCACTGGCCCAAGTTGGCACCATCATTGCGCTCTTCCCCGGTGAGGCAGATCAGTCGCTGGCTTCTGGATGGCTGCTCACTGCGGCTGCTGGCCGCTCACACTGGCTGCTGGCTACACAGGGCAACCCACTGCCACGGGGGCTACAGTCTACGCTGTCGCCGGGGACTCATGGCAGCCCAGCTCCAGGTTGAGCTGTTGTTCAGCATCTTAGCTGTGGAGGGCAGTGTCACTGGCCCTCATATGTGGGATCTGAACCGGGGCCCTCTGGCGTCCCAAGCCAGCTCTTAACCAACGCGCCACTCGGTCAGCCCAGAATTTTAACTTCAAAGAAAGGAAAATCTCTTACAATGATTAATTCCTTAACTCTGATAATATCTCTCCACATACGGGAGTCAGCAAACTCTGGCCTGAGGACCAAACATGACCAGCTACCTGTTTTTCTCAGCTTGAGAGCTAAGAATGATATTTATATTTGTAAATGGAAAACAAATCCAAAGAAGAAGACAATTTCTTGGCATGTAAAAATGATGAAATTCAAATTTCAGTGTCCATAAATCAAGTTTGGCACTGTCGTTTGTTGAGGCTTGTCTATGGCTCCTTTCATGTTCAATGCCAGGGTTGGGTAGCTGTGGCAGAGACTATGTGCCCTGCAAAACAGAAAATATTTACTAGGTGGCCCATTTCAGAAAAAGTTTGCTGCCTGTGATATAGACAAAGCTAATTTCCAAAGGAGAACTAAAGCACAGCGTGGAATGTGGAGACAGTAAAAATTACCACAGTGAACTGGCATGGAATGTAAACTAAACTTCTCATGTGATGTAATTTCTAATGAAGCATCTTGCATAAGCAGGGAAAATAAAAATCTGGAAATTGAAGTAAAAAATCAAAATCAAAATCCTGAACTGTGTGTAGTGGGGAAAGTTTGAAGAACAGAGCACAAAGATGGAAGACCTTTTTTATCTATCACCCAAAGGTGCCCTTTCTGGACTAGTAGGCTTCCCTTCCTGAAAGCAGAGCTGTGCAGCCCTAGGCAATCACTAACCCTTGCTGATTGCCTGATGGATGAGAGACACCCGGCTCTGATTCTAGCCTGAGTAGGCAGTGATGAGGGTGACCTCTGAATGCCTTGGGTCTCAAAGCAAGCATCTTTTTTGGTCCCATGAAAAGCCTGAGTATGTATCCTTCAATGCCTCTGAGACGTGCTATGGTCAGGCTCTCCAAAAGCCTTCCTGTTCTTTTTATTTTGAACATATTTTAGTCCATTTGGGAGAGGATAACTAAGATTAGAGTCCCTTTTTTTTAAAGATTTTATTGGGGAATTGGGGGAGGGGAACAGCGCTGGGGAATCGGGAAGGGGAACAGACAAGTTGCTATCCTTTGGTTCTTCAGTCTAGCTGTGGAGGACGTCGCTTCACTGGCCCATGTTGGCACCATCACTGAGCTCTTCCCGGGCGAGGCAGTTGCTCGCCGGCCATTGGACGGCCGCTCATGGCGGCTCAGGAAAGTGCACGCCCTCGGCTAGCCAGCCCCACTGCAGCCTACGCCGTCGCCGGTGACTCACAGCAGCCCAGCTCGAGGTCCAGCTGTTGTTCACAATCCTAGCCGCAGAGGGCACAGCGTCATTGGCCCTCATATGTGGGATCCAAACCGGGCCCTGCTGCCCAGAGCTGGCGTCCCAAGCCAACTCCCAACCAACGTGCCACCTGGCCGGTCCTAGATCAGAGTTTCAATCCTTGTTACAACCTCTACAGCGGGGAGGAGAATAATCAGTGGTGGAGGAGGGACATGCCTAAGAACAATGGTTATCCTATGTAATTTCCAGTTTGTGTGTGTCTAATGTTGTATTTTGGAATAATCTCTTGGTGCAGTAGTTCATATCTATAATTTATAAATGCATGCTACATTTTTATATATTCATGTGCTCAAACTTTTTATTGATATTTTTATATGTGTTACCAAACAGCTTGTACACTTGTTGGCTTAGTTTTCTGTGGATGCATAACAAATTATCACAAATGTAGTGGCTTAAAGCAACACATTTATTATCTCACAATTCTCACCCATTAGGAGCCTGGATGGTTCAGCTAGATCCTTGCCTCAGGGTCTCCCAAGGCTGCAATGCAGGTGTTGGCTGGGACTGCGTCCTCATCTAAAATCTCAGTCCCCTTCCACGCTCAAGTGGTGTTGGCAGAATTCTTTTCCTTGAAGCTGTAGAACACATGATGGCTTGCTTCTGCAAGGTCAATAGGAGAGTCTCCATGACTCAGAGAAGGTCTAAACCCTCTTTGAAAACCTACACAACTGATTGCGTCAGGCCCACCCAGGATAATTCCCCTTTTGATTAAAGTCCCAACTGATCTGGGACATTTGTTGCATTTGCAAAATCCCTCCTACCTTGCCATATGATGTCACATAAGGGAGTGACATCTATCACCTTTGTCATATAACCCAATCATGGCATAACATGGGGGAGGAGGGGTTGCTGCGATTGTAGGTGCTATCTTAGAATTTTGGCTATCATGCTCGGGCATGAAAAAGATGACTCCAACTATTTTGAATCTTAGCTTTACCACTTACTAGCTGTGTGATTGAACAAGTAATTTAATTTCTCTATGCCTCAGTGCTTTCAACTGTAAACTGGAGATCATTCTAGTATCATTTTAGCATTCTAGTACCTACTACTTTGGGCTGGTGCCAGAATTAAACAAGATCATGTCTTTAAAGGGCCTAGCACAGTGACTGGCAAACAGCAAATTGTGAATGGGTGTCAGATCGTTTCCTTAACTATTCCTCTTCATGCATACAGACATTTTATTCATACGACAGAAAAATAACATTGGACATCACAAGAATGTGCCTCACTGGATCTCCAAGCAAGCAAGATGAGAAGAGGGAAATTAGGAATGCAAATTAATCCTGGTTTATGATAGAAAGGGCTTACTCTGGTGGTGATTATGAACAAGCTAGTTCAGTGAATGGTGCATTGACACAAAGCGAGATACTGTATGTGAAAGCACCTGCACTTAATAAATATCAATTGAATTTAAATCTGGACAGAAGTACATGCTTAATAGTTGTTAGTGGATTCGTTGTTGTGATTATCTTCTTATAAAGTTAAATCACTTGCTTAACGAAATTCTTTCTTTCGCTTTCCAGTTACCCAAGAACTATTTGAACACGACAAACATTTAATTTGCTAGATGGCTCCTCCTTTTTCCCAGATCTAAGGTAAGGTCTGTTAGTATGAAACCAATAGAGAAAGTCAAAGTGTCAGAACATTTGTCAAAGATCTTGATAAAGCATGGGTAGCAAATGAATAAAGACAAATATCAAACCCCAGGCCTGCAGTTTCTGTGCTGGGAGATCATTCTTATCTACCTCCTAGTCTCAAGTTCAAAAGCCTGTGCTAAGCTCTTCTACCAAGGGGAGGAGAAAAAAAAACAAAACCTCAAACAAGAAAGCTCCTCAAAATATACCACTCTAAATTTTCTCATGTCCTTGGACATAAAAAAGCAACAATGTCCCCTGATTGCAGACTTCCTGATATGCGGAGAATGCACAGCCCCGAGTGACCTCGTGCTCACAATGGGTGGACAGAAAGGCACACAGTACAGGCTTTTGTCTTCTCACTGTATTGTCATCTTGTTCCCCAGAATGGCTTTGGGCCTGGTGACAGGGAGAGGGCTGCTTGCTGAGGAGCCCTCTCCAGAGTGACGGGTGTGGCTGTGGGCAGATCTGGGGTGACTCGAAAGGAAAATTCCTGGGAGCAGGCGCTGTAGCTCCAGTAACTCTGGCACCCTTAGACTCTCGGGGGCCGTATTAGAGTGAATCAGAGAGCTCACAATTGTAAAGTTTTATGGAAGAGAGAGAGAGAGAGAGAGAAGGGGGTGGGGAAGGTGAATGAATGAATTAATGAATGGGAGAGAACGGCATCAACATACAGCAGTACTCTGCGTCTCATTGTCAAGTTTGGTGAACTGTCCTACGTGGCAGATCCGTATCTTGCTACATTTCTCATAAAAGAGGAATTTGTTTAGAGGGCAGTTGGGACAACAGGACCACAGAGTTGGTAAATCATTTTTTGCCTTACTTCAGGATCTCTGTAGATAGTCTATTTTTTTCATCATTAAATAGAGAAAAATAGAGTAGTGGAGACAGCCGTCCAGAAGTTTCCAGACATCCAGGTGCTTGATGTTGTGGAAATATAGACACAAACTGTCTGGGCTTTACATGGACTCATTATTTACCTGTTGTGTTTGTATATATATTTATTTTGAGCGGTGGACCAATGGGCAGACTTTATTCACAACACACGCTTATGAAGCAGCTCTACTGAGGCGAAGATGCTGCGAAAGACACAGATGAATCACGAAGGGACTCTGGCCTAAGAGATTCATAGTCTTCTCCCAGAGACTGCAGCTTGTAATAAGCATTGTTCAGAGCTGTACTGACACCCATACCACTTACTCATCTTCCGGAAGAGTTGGTTCAAGGCATTCAATGGGTTGCCTAATTCTGGACAAGAAAAAAAATGGTGAGGTTGAATTGACCGGCCATTTAACAAATGTGGTTAACTCGATCTCCAGTTTATTAGCAGCCAAGCCGAAGTCTTCTAGAAGGTGTAAGTCAGCTCTCTGACCTATATCGATCTTTTTTCATGTCTACTGGACGAAAAAAACAACCCGTCCCACTGTTGCCAGGAAGCCAAAATTGCAACCAGCTAGTCAGATTCAGGGTTTACCTGTGAACCAAGGGTTTGGACTCACCTCCACCGGGCCTCCAGGGTGCTCTCCTCATTCAACATTCACAGCTGCATTCTCCTNCCTCCCCCCTCCCATTTACCTCATCTCTTTTTAGTCATCAGTGGCAACACAGGATAAAATACCTTTATTATTATCTGAGGTTCAGCATTACCTAAGATTTATCTTTTTCAAAACTTGGTAGCCCTTGCCTTAATCAAAAGGAGAGAAGGAGTGGATATGACTAGAAGTTCATATTGCCAATGGGTATTGCAAATTATACTACAATCTGAAAGCAAATATCTTGTGTTATTAGCTTCTCAGGTTTGATTATATTGTTTCATGAGGGCCTTTTTCCCTTCTCAACGTGTGTGGCACTTTTCTTCAAGTAACAACCAACCTAACACATGTATTATTTATACCACCTGCAGCATTATTGCTAAGAGGAATAATCCATGTGGGTGCCAATGCAATTTTAGTCTTTTATTTCTGAACTGTTGGAGCCATTTCAGCAGCTGGCCCACGGGCGGACTCCTTAGAGCATATGAATACCTCTTAAACAGGGCTGCACCATTTTTTGGGCTATGAGTGTCCCTAGGACGATTAACCAAAACTCTACATTATTTAAATGTGTGTTTCCATGAAAAGGCATAATAAGTTGTGCTTCTCAATACTCTTTGAACATTGTCATGTGGCAGGGTCTCTCTTGACAAAGGCAGCCAGGCAGTAACTCTCTACTCCCTAGTGATAGCATTTTCAAATTGCTCTTTTCTGCTCAATAAAGGTTAAAAAGGAAGTGAAACCTTTTGTACTCTTCTGCACTGCTGTTTTTCCAAAAAGAGCAGCAATCCCTGCCCATACAGTCTTCTAAGGGCTTGCTAAGAAAGGGTTGAAAATAGCAGGCAAGAAGTGTTTTTGTTTTGCTGCCTGTTCGTTGGCTATGAAATGAAAACAAAAAGATGACATTGAATTTGGCGTTTGAGACTGCAGCTGTTGTTTCTGTGATGACTGGCTCGACAAGCCCACAGTATTCTAGGAGCAGGCGCCTGTCCCGGGAGCCAACTCAGCTATTTGTCAAGAATGAAAGGACTGGGGCCGTGCAGTGTTTCCTCTTCCCGACCTTTATAGCAGCAGCAAGCTGGGCAGAAACACATGCAAATAAAAATCAAGAACTCCAGAGAGTAACCAAATCATTTCCATACAGACTGATAATGAACTTCAAGCCTTCAGCTCAAATATCACTGATTTAAATCCATTTGTTCTAGTTCTTTAATAGAATCTGAAGTTAAATACACAAACATATTGTTGGAATTCTCTCTGTGCTGATACTGGCTTGTGATTTTTTTCTTAAGATCAACATAAAGTAGAGTGATTTTTAAAAATCAAGCGTTTATATCTCAGTAGAGCTGGGGGAAAAAAATCTAACATTGAATGAGAAAACCTAAAATGCTTTTGGATGTCCTTTCCCTGATTTTGCAGTTATTTGTTTCACTTTATTGCCCTACCTTAAAAGTTTTAAAATTTAAGCCAAGTGTGTGCTCTGAGGGGGAAGGAAGCTGCATTTGTGTCCCAAACAAGGAGAAATGGTAGTGTTAGCATTTGTTGAATGGAAGCCTCTTCAGCCTCCTTCTATTCTTCTAATCTATCCTTCTCATTCTTCTGTTTAGGTAATCGATTTGAATCACAAATTCCTGGATCAGTGGTCCTGCTTGTACTACTGGATTTCATTAAGAAGTTTAGACAATCCTATATCTCTAAAGTCTTCCATTTTTTCCATGTGTTGGGAGATTTATTGAGAAAATCCACCTTCAGCGATGGTGATGGCTTGGCAGCCTTAGTTCGCTCTTACTTCCTGTTAATCATTTGCATTTCTATGGCCTATTGTAGCTGAACATCTCAAAAAACCTCCTAAAATGTGAGGATAAATTTAATTAAACTGTACTTCTTTGTCTCTGGGATGAATCTGACAATATTCTGTTGATTTCAGAACTAGAAGATTAAGGCCCCAAAGTTGCAAAGATATTGGATTGTCGGAAAAGTCATGATGCACTTTTGCAACATAAAACATAGAAAAAATACGTCATGACTTTTCCGACAATCCAATATTTCTCTTTCCTAATTCTATGTATATATGTAGTATGTGAATAAATCAGTACAGTAAAAAAAAAATTCAGATTTTTTTTCCCCTTTAGGTTGGAAACAAAACCCTTTTCAGAGAATTTGATGATTCTTTCTCCAACCCTTAGCTTTATTCACACATTCTGTTAACTCAACTTCCGTTATAAAAGCAATAGAACCATCTACCTTTGTGATCAGGAGAGGCCATAAAGACATTAGCTAAAGAATTAAAATCCTCCTTTTCCAGGACTTTCATGATCTTTCTCCTTTATGAAAATCCCTTGATCTCTCCTTATCTGAATTTTCCATTTATATTACTGTATCAATGGTTCTGAACTTTTAAATGAAGTGACCCCTGTTTTGCACCCTGAATTTTTTGGTGGACTTCCACAAGATACTATAATTGTTTTTTAGACTTTTGAAATTTATTAGAGAGAAGAATCTTCTAGCTAAAGAATTGCACTCATTTGGCTGAGAAAATACTTGCTCGATGTGGGGATCTCTCACCCCTGTTGTAACTGTGAGCCCAGGGGAGTTGGGTCCACAGTGACCAATCTCTACTTGTTTTCATGGAGCCATTTGGGTGCTTCCTTGACTGGTTTTCTAATTGCTTCTCAGCGTTTAGTTTTCGAGGATGGGAATTAAGCCATCTTTTTATCTCCCACAGGCTGGCCACGTAGTGCTGCTTCACAAACTGGTTGTTAATGCATTGCTTGGTCTATTCTCTTTTTACATGGGAAGAGACACTGCGCTGACCTTTCAAACAAATCTTTAGTTGCTGCAACTAGTTTTATATTTTAGTGTAAAGCGAAGGGCCTCTGACTTCCATCTAGTAAGAATTTGACCAAATATTCGTGGATTAACAGTTTCCATCTTTGCAGACATTGTCCTTTGAAGCTCGTTTTGCTTTCTTTTCTCACTCTCACAGGGCCTCAGTTTTCTCATGAGCATGAAAGTCCTAAAAGCCCTAGTCCCTTCAGAAAGGAATGTCCGGGCCACTTGGCTGGATGGATAAAGGGTCCAGGCCTGATCCATTGGCTGCTGGAATTGTCAAGTGAAAAAAAAATGGCCCCATTAACTAATCTTTCTACCTGTGCTTTAGCCTTGATTGCAAATTGTTTGTTTCTAATGTCTTTTCATCATAGTCTTTATAATCATCTTGTCAACAAGTTATCCTAAAAATTGTTCAAAAGGCTCCATTCATACTTAGCACAGAGCTAACCTTTGGATTCCTTTGTGAGTCTTGCTTTGCTCTTAACATGTGGCTGGTATGAAGTTGTTTTGAAAATCCTGACACTGGAACACATTCTCACTCGGTAAAGTCACCCACACCTTCCTCATGGACTGATTTTAAGGGGCTTCTTCATCTAA